ATTCCGTGTGAACATTTCGTCTATGTCCACTCTGTCAATCCCTCTGAGTATTTTATACGTTCCTATCATGTCCCCCCCCTCTCCCTTCTTCTTTCTAGTGTCGTAAGGCACAGTTCCCTCAGGCGCTCCTCATACCCCATCCCTCGTAGCTCTGGGACGAGTCTCGTTGCAAACCTCTGAACCTTTTCCAGTTTCATTATATGCTTCTTCAGATGGGGACTCCATGATGAGGCGGCATACTCTAAGACTGGCCTTACGTAGGCAGTGTAAAGCGCCCTAAATGCCTCCTTACTTAGGTTTCTGAATGATGTTCTAACTTTTGCCAGTGTAGAGTACGCTGCTGTCGTTATCCTATTTATATGTGCCTCAGGAGATAGATTAGGTGTTACGTCCACCCCCAGGTCTCTTTCACGTGTCGTCACAGGTAGGCTGTTCCCCTTCATTGTGTACTGTCCCTTTGGTCTCCTATCTCCTAGTCCCATTTCCATAACTTTACATTTGCTCGTGTTGAATTCCAGTAGCCATTTCTCTGACCATCTCTGCAACCTGTTCAGGTCCTCTTGGAGGATCCTGCAATTCTCATCTGTCACAACTCTTCTCATCAACTTTGCGTCATCGGCAAACATCGACATGTAGGACTCTACGCCTGTAAACATGTCGTTAACATATACAAGAAATAGAATTGGTCCCAGCACCGATCCTTGTGGTACTCCACTTGTTACTGCTCGCCAGTCCGACTTCTCGCCCCTTACCGTAACTCTCTGGCTCCTTCCTGTTAGGTAGTTCCTTATCCATGCTAGGACCAACCTTATCCCTGCTTATCCATGTGTGTGTGTGTGTGTGTGTGTGTGTGTGTGTGTGTGTGTGTGTGTGTGTGTGTGTGTGTGTGTGTGTGTGTGTGTGTGTGTGTGTGTGTGTGTGTACTCACCTAATTGTACTCACCTAATTGTGCTTGCGGGGGTTGAGCTCTGGCTCTTTGGTCCCGCCTCTCAACCGTCAATCAACTGGTGTACAGATTCCTGAGCCTATTGGGCTCTATCATATCTACATTTGAAACTGTGTATGGAGTCAGCCTCCACCACATCACTTCCTAATGCATTCCATTTACTAACTACTCTGACACTGAAAAAGTTCTTTCTAACGTCTCTGTGGCTCATTTGGGTACTCAGCTTCCACCTGTGTCCCCTTGTTCGCGTCCCACCAGTGTTGAATAGTTCATCCTTGTTTACCCGGTCGATTCCCCTGAGGATTTTGTAGGTTGTGATCATGTCCCCCCTTACTCTTCTGTCTTCCAGTGTCGTAAGGTGCATTTCCCGCAGCCTTTCCTCATAACTCATGCCTCTTAGTTCTGGGACTAGTCTAGTAGCATACCTTTGGACTTTTTCCAGCTTCGTCTTGTGCTTGACAAGGTACGGGCTCCATGCTGGGGCCGCATACTCCAGGATTGGTCTTACATATGTGGTGTACAAGATTCTGAATGATTCCTTACACAGGTTCCTGAACGCCGTTCTGATGTTAGCCAGCCTCGCATATGCCGCAGACGTTATTCTCTTTATGTGGGCTTCAGGAGACAGGTTTGGTGTGATATCAACTCCTAGATCTTTCTCTCTGTCTGTTTCATTAAGTACTTCATCTCCTATTCTGTATCCTGTGCCTGGCCTCCTGTTTCCACTGCCTAGTTTCATTACTTTGCATTTACTCGGGTTGAACTTCAGCAGCCATTTGTTGGACCATTCACTCAGTCTATCCAGGTCATCTTGTAGCCTCCTACTATCATCCTCTGTTTCAATCCTCCTCATAATTTTTGCATCGTCGGCAAACATTGAGAGGAACGAATCTATACCCTCTGGGAGATCATTTACATATACCAGAAACAGTATAGGTCCAAGGACTGACCCCTGCGGGACTCCACTTGTGACGTCTCGCCAATCTGAGACCTCACCCCTCACACAGACTCGTTGTCTCCTGTTGCTTAGGTACTCCTCTATCCACCGGAGTACCTTCCCTCTCACTCCAGCCTGCATCTCCAACTTTCGCACTAGCCTCTTGTGTGGCACTGTATCAAAGGCTTTCTGACAATCCAAAAATATGCAGTCTGCCCACCCTTCTCTTTCTTGCCTTATTTTTGTTGCCTGGTCGTAGAATTCAAGTAACCTTGTGAGGCAGGACCTGCCATCCCTGAACCCTGTGTGTGTGTGTGTGTGTGTGTGTGTGTGTGTGTGTGTGTGTGTGTGTGTGTGTGTGTGTGTGTGTGTGTGTGTGTGTGTGTGTGTGTGTGTGTGTGTGTGTGTGTGTCTGTGTGTGTGTGAGTGTGTGACACTCACACACACACATTCACATTCCATAAGGCAAAAATGAGCATCCCTTCTCTCTACATCATTTATGGCGAGTGATTGTCTCTCTCTCCCTCACATATGGCAACATGGTGCATGTCTCCCCCTCCCTCACATATGGCAACATGGTGCATGTCTCCCCCTCCCTCACATATGGCAACATGGTGCATGTCTCCCCCTCCCTCACATATGGCAACATGGTGCATGTCTCCCCCTCCCTCACATATGGCAACATGGTGCATGTCTCCCCTCCCTCACATATGGCAACATGGCGCATGTCTCCCCCTCCCTCACATATGGCAACATGGTGCATGTCTCCCCTCCCTCACATATGGCAACATGGCGCAGTCTCCCCCTCCCTCACATATGGCAACATGGTGCATGTCTCCCCCTCCCTCACATATGGCAACATGGTGCATGTCTCCCCCTCCCTCACATATGGCAACATGGCGCATGTCTCCCCCTCCCTCACATATGGCAACATGGTGCATGTCTCCCCTCCCTCACATATGGCAACATGGCGCAGTCTCCCCCTCCCTCACATATGGCAACATGGTGCATGTCTCCCCCTCCCTCACATATGGCAACATGGTGCATGTCTCCCCCTCCCTCACATATGGCAACATGGTGCATGTCTCCCCCTCCCTCACATATGGCAACATGGTGCATGTCTCCCCCTCCCTCACATATGGCAACATGGCGCATGTCTCCCCCTCCCTCACATATGGCAACATGGCGCATGTCTCCCCCTCCCTCACATATGGCAACATGGTGCATGTCTCCCCCTCCCTCACATATGGCAACATGGCGCATGTCTCCCCCTCCCTCACATATGGCAACATGGCGCATGTATCCCCCTCCCTCACATATGGCAACATGGTGCATGTCTCCCCCTCCCTCACATATGGCAACATGGTGCATGTCTCTCCCTCCCTCACATATGGCAACATGGTGCATGTCTCCCCCTCCCTCACATATGGCAACATGGTGCATGTCTCCCCCTCCCTCACATATGGCAACATGGTGCATGTCTCTCCCTCCCTCACATATGGCAACATGGTGCATGTCTCCCCCTCCCTCACATATGGCAACATGGTGCATGTCTCTCCCTTCCTCACATATGGCAACATGGTGCATGTCTCTCCCTTCCTCACATATGGCAACATGGTGCATGTCTCTCCCTCCCTCACATATGGCAACATGGTGCATGTCTCTCCCTCCCTCACATATGGCAACATGGTGCATGTCTCCCCCTCCCTCACATATGGCAACATGGTGCATGTCTCCCCCTCCCTCACATATGGCAACATGGTGCATGTCTCCCCCTCCCTCACATATGGCAACATGGTGCATGTCTCTCCCTCCCTCACATATGGCAACATGGTGCATGTCTCTCCCTACCTCACATATGGCAACATGGTGCATGTCTCTCCCCTCCCTCACATATGGCAACATGGTGCATGTCTCTCCCTCCCTCACATATGGCAACATGGTGCATGTCTCTCCCTCCCTCACATATGGCAACATGGTGCATGTCTCTCCCTCCCTCACATATGGCAACATGGTGCATGTCTCATATGGCAACCCTCCCTCACATATGGCAACATGGTGCATGTCTCTCCCTCCCTCACATATGGCAACATGGTGCATGTCTCTCCCTTCCTCACATATGGCAACATGGTGCATGTCTCTCCCTCCCTCACATATGGCAACATGGTGCATGTCTCTCCCTCCCTCACATATGGCAACATGGTGCATGTCTCCCCCTCCCTCACATATGGCAACATGGTGCATGTCTCCCCCTCCCTCACATATGGCAACATGGTGCATGTCTCTCCCTCCCTCACATTTGGCAACATGGTGCATGTCTCTCCCTCCCTCACATATGGCAACATGGTGCATGTCTCTCCCTCCCTCACATATGGCAACATGGTGCATGTCTCTCCCTCCCTCACATATGGCAACATGGTGCATGTCTCTCCCTCCCTCACATATGGCAACATGGTGCATGTCTCCCCCTCCCTCACATATGGCAACATGGTGCATGTCTCCCCCTCCCTCACATATGGCAACATGGTGCATGTCTCCCCCTCCCTCACATTTGGCAGGTATAAAACTATTGTTATCTACAGCAGAAGGATACAAAAGTACAGGAAATTGTAGTGAAACAGAGGATATTGCAAGACACTTACAGAGAATGACGCCGACATGTGTGAGGATCTCAACAGGAGATTCTAGGAGGTTTCTGCAGTAATGGTGAGGGGCGTGAACTGAGTGTGACGGTGTTGTCCCAAGCGACACGTCACAACCTTAAGGTCACCAAAGGTGCAGTTAGCAAGCACTGGTGAAGCTCAGAGACAACTGGGCCACACACAGTATCACCGGAGATACTAAGCGAAGGAGCTAACGCTCTGTGCTAGCCGCTTGTAATATTAAGTAACACGTGACTGGGAACTGGAAGGAGGGACTTATCAGGGAAAAGCGCCAAGCCATTACGACTATACAGTACTAGGAGGGGGTCAGGATAAGATTTTTGGGATGGGACGGGAGGAAGGAATGGTGCCCAACCCCTTGGACGGTCGGGGATTGAACGCCGACCTGCATGAAGCGAGACCGTCCCTCTAGCATCCAGTCCAAGTGGTTGGGCGCGGGAAAGAGGAGCTACCAATGACTGGAGGAGCCAGTGTGGGTGACGGGAGAGTCACAGGGCGCTACACGGAAGGTAAGAGTCTCATGTTTACATTGTGTGGGTGTCGCTGGGGCGACTCTCGTCAAGAGTCTACCTCACAACTATAGAGAACTATATAACTCTTAACAACACAACATCTTCATCGCTTCACGGATGGACAAGTTTGTCTCAAAAGTGTTCATATAAGACCCAGCAGTGGCTCACCTAAGACAGTGAAGGTGGACCCAATTGCATATTTATGGACTGTCAGGAAGCCGTCAACACAGTACCCAACATGACACCATTGTACTTAATGGAAAAGTCGGCAGAAGTGACAATGGGAATTTTAAGGTGCTCCAAAGGAGTAACTAAAAGATGGAAAATTTACATACGATTGGGTAATTTACGACGATATATACCTGTTTGATACCTGGTTGATGGGGTTCTGGGAGTTCTTCTACTCCCCAAGCACGGTTCGAGGCCAGACTTCACTTGTGAGAGTTTGGTCCACCAGGCTGTTGCTTGGAGCGGCCCTCAGGCCCACATACCCACCACAGCCTGGTTGGTCCGGCACTCCTTGGAGAAAACCATCTAGTTTCCTCTTGAAATTGTCCACGGCTGTTCCGGCAATATTTCTGATGATCGCTGGTAGGACGTTGAACAACCGCGGACCTCTGATGTTCATACAGTGTTCTCTGATTGTGCCTATGGCACCTCTGCTCTTCACTGGTTCTATTATGCATTTTCTTCCATATCGTTCACTCTACTACGTTGTTATTTTACTGTGCAGATCTGGGACCTGTCCCTCCAGTATCTTCCATGTGTATATTATTTCTTATCTCTCTCGTCTCCTTTCTAGTGAGTACATTTGGAGAGCTTTGAGACGATCCCAATAACTTAGGTGTTTTATCTCGTCTATGCATGCCGTATATGTTCTCTGTATTCCCTCTATTTTAAAGAAAAAAGTCCACTACGGGCTCACCATAGCCCGTGCTACTTGGAACTGTTTCATCCAAGGAGCGAATCTTAAACAACAACAACAACCCTCTATTTCAGCAATCTCTCCTGCTCTGAAGGGGGAAGTGAGCACTGAGTAGTACTCAAGCTGGAATTACCTTACCTTGCACTTACTTAAGTTAAACTCCAGCAGACAGCTGTTGAGTAATTCTTTCATTTTTCCAGCTCATCCAGTAGTTAAGGTATATCCAGTATACCACACAGACCCTGAGGTATACCACAGTCCCCGAGGTATACCACACAGTCCCCGAGGTATACCACACAATCCTTGAGGTATACCAAACAGTCCTTGAGGTATACCACACAGTCCCCGAGGTATACCACACAGTCCCCGAGGTATACCACACAATCCTTGAGGTATACCACAGTCCCCGAGGTATACCAGTCCCCGAGGTATACCACAGTCCCCGAGATATACCACAGTCCCTGAGGTATACCACACAGTCCCCGAGGTATACCACACAGTCCCCGAGGTATACCACACAGTCCTTGAGGTATACCACACAGTCCCCGATGTATACCACACAATCCCCGAGGTATACCACACAGTCCCCGAGGTATACCACACAGTCCCCGAGGTATAGTCCCCACACAGTCCCCGAGGTATACCACACAGTCCCTGAGGTATACCACACAGTCCCCGAGGTATACCACACAGTCCCCTAGGTATACCACACAGTCCCCTAGGTATACCACACAGTCCCCGAGGTATACCACACAGTCCCCGAGGTATACCACACAGTCCCCGAGGTATACCACACAGTCCCCGAGGTATACCACACAGTCCCTGAGGTATACCACAGTCCCCGAGGTATACCACACAGTCCCCGAGGTATACCACACAGTCCCTGGGGTATACCACACAGTCCCTGAGGTATACCACAGTCCCCGAGGTATACCACACAGTCCCCGAGGTATACCACACAGTCCCCGAGGTATACCACACGAGGTATACCACACAGTAGGTATACCACACAGTCCCTGAGGTATACCACAGTCCCCGAGGTATACCACACAGTCCCCGAGGTATACCACACAATCCCCGAGGTATACCACACAGTCCCCTAGGTATACCACACAGTCCTTGAGGTATACCACACAGTCCCCGAGGTATACCACACAGTCCCCGAGGTATACCACACAGTCCCCGAGGTATACCACACAGTCCCCGAGGTATACCACACAATCCTTGAGGTATACCACAGTCCTTGAGGTATACCACAGTCCCCGAGGTATACCACAGTCCCCGAGATATACCACAGTCCCTGAGGTATACCACACAGTCCCCGAGGTATACCACAGTCCTTGAGGTATACCACACAGTCCCCGGGGTATACCACACAGTCCCTGAGGTATACCACAGTCTCCGAGGTATACCACAGTCCCCGGGTATACCCCACAGTCCCTGAGGTATACCACAAAGTCCCCGAGGTATACCACAGTCCCCGAGGTATACCACAGTCCCCGAGGTATACCCTCAGTCCCCGATGTATACCACACAGTCCCCGGGGTATACCTCACAGTCCCCGGGGTATACCTCACAGTCCCCGAGGTATACCACACAGTCCCCGGGGTATACCTCACAGTCCCCGGGTATACCACAGTCCCCGGGGTATACCTCACAGTCCCCGAGGTATACCGCACAGTCCCCGGGGTATACCTCACAGTCCCCGAGGTATACCACACAGTCCCCGGGGTATACCTCACAGTCCCCGAGGTATACCACTGTCCCCGAGGTATACCACACAGTCCCCGAGGTATACCACACAGTCCCTGATGTATACCACACAGTACCCGAGGTATACCTCACAGTCCCCGAGGTATACCACACAGTCCCTGAGGTATACCACACCGTCCCCGAGGTATACCACAGTCCCTGAGGTATACCACACAGTCCTCCGAGATATACCACAGTCCCCCGAGGTATACCACACAGTCCCCTAGGTATACCACAGTCCCCGAGGTATACCACACAGTCCCCCGAGGTATACCACAGTCCACGAGGTATACCACACAGTCCCCGAGGTATACCACACAGTCCCAGAGGTATACCACACAGTCCCAGAGGTGTACCACACAGTCCGCGAGGTATACCACAGTCCCCGAGGTATACCACAGTCCCCGAGGTATACCACACAGTCCCCCGAGGTATACCACAGTCCACGAGGTATACCACACAGTCCCAGAGGTATATCACAGGGGAAGATTGAAATCAGGGGAGACATGATTCCCATATACAAAATCCTCAGGGGGAATGAACAAGGCAGAGATAGACAGCTTGGGATACACCACCACCACCACCACACTGACGGCTTCAGAAGTAGAGAGACAGAGCCTAAAAAGCTCGGTCACCTGTACGCCACCTGAATGGTGAGAGGCAGGACTATAGAGCTGAAGCTCAACCCTTACACTCACAATTAGCTGAGACTACAAGTGGTAAACTACTGACTACAAGTGGTAAACTACTGACTACAAGTGGTAAACTGTTGACTACAAGTGGTAAACTACTGACTACAAGTGGTAAACTACTGACTACAAGTGGTAAACTGTTGACTACAAGTGGTAAACTACTGACTACAAGTGGTAAACTACTGACTACAAGTGGTAAACTACTGACTACAAGTGGTAAACTATTGACTACAAGTGGTAAACTGTTGACTACAAGTGGTAAACTACTGACTACAAGTGGTAAACTACTGACTACAAGTGGTAAACTACTGACTACAAGTGGTAAACTACTGACTACAAGTGGTAAACTATTGACTACAAGTGGTAAACTACTGACTACAAGTGGTAAACTACTGACTACAAGTGGTAAACTACTGACTACAAGTGGTAAACTACTGACTACAAGTGGTAAACTACTGACTACAAGTGGTACAAGTGGTAAACTACTGACTACAAGTGGTAAACTACTGACTACAAGTGGTAAACTACTGACTACAAGTGGTAAACTACTGACTACAAGTGGTAAACTACTGACTACAAGTGGTAAACTGTTGACTACAAGTGGTAAACTACTGACTACAAGTGGTAAACTACTGACTACAAGTGGTAAACTACTGACTACAAGTGGTAAACTACTGACTACAAGTGGTAAACTGTTGACTACAAGTGGTAAACTACTGACTACAAGTGGTAAACTACTGACTACAAGTGGTAAACTACTGACTACAAGTGGTAAACTGTTGACTACAAGTGGTAAACTACTGACTACAAGTGGTAAACTACTGACTACAAGTGGTAAACTACTGACTACAAGTGGTAAACTACTGACTACAAGTGGTAAACTGCTGACTACAAGTGGTAAACTACTGACTACAAGTGGTAAACTACTGACTACAAGTGGTAAACTGTTGACTACAAGTGGTAAACTACTGACTACAAGTGGTAAACTACTGACTACAAGTGGTAAACTACTGACTACAAGTGGTAAACTACTGACTACAAGTGGTAAACTGTTGACTACAAGTGGTAAACTACTGACTACAAGTGGTAAACTACTGACTACAAGTGGTAAACTACTGACTACAAGTGGTGCTGAACTGGTAAACTACTGACTACAAGTGGTAAACTACTGACTACAAGTGGTAAACTACTGACTACAAGTGGTAAAACTGACTACAAGTGGTAAACTACTGACTACAAGTGGTAAACTACTGACTACAAGTGGTAAACTGTTGACTACAAGTGGTAAACTACTGACTACAAGTGGTAAACTACTGACTACAAGTGGTAAACTACTGACTACAAGTGGTAAACTACTGACTACAAGTGGTAAACTACTGACTACAAGTGGTAAACTGTTGACTACACGTGGTAAACTGTTGACTACAAGTGGCAAACTGTTGACTACAAGTGGGTAAACTACTGACTACAAGTGGTAAACTACTGACTACAAGTGGTAAACTGTTGACTACAAGCGGGTAAACTACTGACTACAAGTGGTAAACTACTGACTACAAGTGGGTAAACTACTGACTACAAGTGGGTAAACTATTGACTACAAGCGGTAAACTACTGACTACAAGTGGTAAACTACTTACTACAAGTGGTAAACTACTGACTACAAGTGGTAAACTACTGACTACAAGTGGTAAACTACTGACTACAAGTGGTAAACTATTGACTACAAGCGGTAAACTACTGACTACAAATGGGTAAACTACTGACTACAAGTGGTAAACTACTGACTGCAATTGGTAAACTACTGACTACAAGTGGTAAACTATTGACTACAAGCGGTAAACTATTGACTACAAGTGGTAAACTACTGACTACAAGTGGTAAACTACTGACTACAAGTGGTAAACTACTGACTACAAGTGGTAAACTACTGACTACAAGTGGTAAACTACTGACTACAAGTGGTAAACTACTGACTACAAGTGGTAAACTACTGACTACAAGTGGTAAACTACTGACTACAAGTGGTAAACTACTGACTACAAGCGGTAAACTACTGACAACAAGCGGTAAACTACTGACTACAAGTGGTAAACTACTGACTACAAGTGGTAAACTACTGACTACAAGTGGTAAACTACTGACTACAAGTGGTAAACTACTGACTACAAGTGGTAAACTACTGACTACAAGCGGTAAACTACTGACTACAAGTGGGTAAACTACTGACTACAAGTGGTAAACTACTGACTACAAGTGGGTAAACTACTGACTACAAGCGGTAAACTACTGACTACAAGTGGTAAACTACTGACTACAAGCGGTAAACTGTTGACTACAAGCGGTAAACTGTTGACTACAAGTGGTAAACTAGAGGGTGGCCTTGTACCGCCTGTCACACACCTGCCACAACAGGTGTGTGTGACAGGCGTCAATAAACCCTGTACCAGAGCCACGAGCCGGGGCCCCAGAGCTACACACACATCTCTGTACGGAGACATAGGTAGGTGAGTGCCACTAGGTAAGTCCTGCATACCTCGGCCCTGCCTCATATCCTTAACACATCAGCTGATTGGCTCTGACGTCAAGCCTAACTCTCCCCCCCTCCCCCCCACCCCCTCTCCCCCACTCTGGGGACACGTCCCCACCCTCCCCCAGTCCTCTCCCCCTCCTCCTATCCCACAGGAGCCCCAGGACCCACCCCCAGCCCACCCTGGATAGGTAAACATGTTTTGACTGGCTTTCGTCCGCGATTTGTGCTGTAACTTGCTTAGCTAAACGGACCTTAGGGGTCACTTCTTGGGCCCAGTGTGTTGGTGTGTGACCCCTTACACCTTGCCCACACCTGGCGTGTGGGGTCCACCTTGCCCACACCTGGCGTGTGGGGTCCACCTTGCCCACACCTGGCGTGTGGGGTCCACCTTGCCCACACCTGGCGTGTGGGATCCACCTTGCCCACACCTGGCGTGTGGGATCCACCTTGCCCACACCTGGCGTCTGGGGTCCACCTTGCCCACACCTGGCGTGTGGGGTCCACCTTGCCCACACCTGGCGTGTGGGGTCCACCATGCCCACACCTGGCGTGTGGGATCCACCTTGCCCACACCTGGCGTGTGGGATCCACCTTGCCCACACCTGGCGTCTGGGGTCCACCTTGCCCACACCTGGCGTGTGGGGTCCACCATGCCCACACCTGGCGTGTGGGGTCCACCATGCCCACACCTGGCGTGTGAAGTCCACCATGCCCACACCTGGCGTGTAGGGTCCACCATGCCAACACCTTGGGTATGGGGTCCACCTTGCCCACACCTGACGTGTGGGGTCCACCTTGCCCACACCTTGGGTATGGAGTCCACCTTGCCCGGCCACACCTGGCGTGTGGGGTCCACCGTGCCCACACCTGGCGTGTGGGGTCCACCTTGCCCACACCTTAGGTATGGGGTCCACCATGCCAACACCTTGGGTATGGGGTCCACCACGCCCACACCTTGGGTATGGGGTCCACCACGCCCACACCTTGGGTATGGGGTCCACCTTGCCCACACATGGCGTGTGAGGTCCACCTTGCCCACACCTTGGGTATGGGGTCCACCTTGCCCACACCTGGCGTGTGGGGTCAACCATGCCCACACCTTGGGTATGGGGTCCACCATGCCCACACCTTGGGTATGGGGTCCACCACGCCCACAGGAAGGGGTATGGGGTCCACCGTGCCCACACCTGGCGTGTGGGGTCCACCATGCCCACACCTTGGGTATGGGGTCCACCATGCCCACACCTTGGGTATGGGGTCCACCACCACCCACAGGATGTGTATGGGGTCCACCACCACCCACAGGATGGGTATGGGGTCCACCACCACCCACAGGATGGGTATGGGGTCCACCACCACCCACAGGATGGGTATGGGGTCCACTACCACCCACAGGATGGGTATGGGGTCCACCACCACCCACAGGATGGAGTCCACTACCATCCACAGGATGGGGTATGGGGTCCACCACCACCCACAGGATGGGGTGTGGGGTCCACCACCACCCACAGGATGGGTATGGGGTCCACCACCACCCACAGGATGGGTATGGGGTCCACCACCACCCACAGGATGGGTATGGGGTTCACTACCACCCACAGGATGGGTATGGGGTCCACCACCACCTACAGGATGGGGTCCACTACCACCCACAGGATGGGTATGGGGTCCACCACCACCCACAGGATGGGGTATGGGGTTCACCACCACCCACAGGATGGGGTATGGGGTCCACTACCACCCACGGGATGGGTATGGGGTCCACCACCACCCACATAATGGGTATGGGGTCCACCACCACCCACAGGATGGGTATGGGGTCCACCACCACCCACAGGATGGGTATGGGGTCCACCACCACCCACAGGATGGGTATGGGGTCCACCACCACCCACAGGATGGGTATGGGGTCCACCACCACCCACAGGATGGGGTATGGGGTCCACTACCACCCACGGGATGTGTATGGGGTCCACCACCACCCACAGGATGGGGTATGGGGTCCACCACCACCCACAGGATGGGGTATGGGGTCCACCACCACCCACAGGATGGGTATGGGGTCCACCACCACCCACAGGATGGGGTATGGGGTCCACCACCACCCACAGGATGGGTATGGGGTCCATCACCACCCACAGGATGGGTATGGGGTCCACCACCACCCACAGGATGGGTATGGGGTCCACCACCACCCACAGGATGGGGTATGGGGTCCACTACCACCCACGGGATGGGTATGGGGTCCACCACCACCCACAGGATGCGTATGGGGTCCACCACCACCCACAGGATGGGTATGGGGTCCACCACCACCCACAGGATGGGTATGGGGTCCACCACCACCCACAGGATGAGTATGGGGTCCACCACCAACCACGGGCACAGACCACTGGAACATTATCTAACACAGTGCACAGTTACAAACCTTGTGTGTGTGGTAGTGAAGCTAAGCTTGCTCTCTCTGTGAGTCAAACAACAAACAATTAAGTCAAAACAACAGACAATCAAGTCAAAACAACAGACCATCAAGTCAAAACAACAGACAATCGAGTCAAAACAACAGACAATCAAGTCAAAACAACAGACAATCAAGTCAAAACAACAGACAATCAAGTCAAACAACAGACAATCAAGTCAAAACAACAGACAATCAAGTCAAAACAACAGACAATCAAGTCAAACAACAGATAATCAAGTCAAAACAACAGACAATTAAATTTGAAACAAGATACAATAAATTCAGAAACGAAAGAGAAACAATAGAGAGTGAAGAGAAGCAGAGCCTCCAAGCAGCAACAGACGGCAGGATCACGCCTGATGAAACACGTAGGGATAGCAGTCAATGGGTAAGAACAGGAGATGAATCATAACGGGAGTCCTGGTGTGTGGTGGGGGGGTGGGGGTGTCGTGGAGGGGTGGGGGTGTGGTGGAGGGGCGGGGGCCGTGGTGGGGGAGACGGGAGCATGTCTGAGGTGCACGCTCCCCCGGGCTATGTGTGTGTTGGAGCATGTTCTATCCTGTGGTGACTGGCGGGCCTTCCTGCTCTCTCTCTCTCTCTCTTTCACTAACTGTGTAACTATGTTATTGACTCAGGTGTTCTGGACGACATCCTAACAATTTATCCAACATTTGCTTGTCCATTTTAAAGAATGAAGAACAATTGTTATTTATATTACTTCTAAGCTGCATCACTTATGAACCCATCCCTGCCCTTGTGTGGCAGTGCACAATAGAAAGTTGTTTTCACATATCCATACATTAAAACATTGATTGTAACCATGATATATATGTGCTTCGGCCTACAGTTTAGACCTATTGTCTTGTGTATGACCCTCTGTCCTGCGTGACAGTGAATACCAGCATTATCCTCACTTTAATAAGACTATCAAAATCCTCTCTCTCTCTCTCTCTCTCTCTCTCTCTCTCTCTCTCTCTCTCTCTCTCTCTCTCTCTCTCTCTCTCTCTCTCTCTCTCTCTCTCTCTCTCTCTCTCTCTCTCTCTCTCTCTCTCACTCTCTCACTCTCTCTCTCTTCTCTCTCTCTCTCTCTCTCTCTCTCTCTCTCTCTCTCTCTCTCTCTCTCTCTCTCTCTCTCTCTCTCTCTCTCTCTCTCTCTCTCT